GGTGCCTGAGAGACAGTCAAGGCACCTGAACCAACCTGGGGCCAAACCATAAAGGTGGCAGAGTTGACTTTGATGCCCCAGCTCATCCTTCAAGGCCTGGCTGCACTGTCACCGCTTCCTAGAAGCCTCCTCTGATCTCCCTGTGCAGAACAATCTTTCACCTCTGCTGGGCCCTGACTGCGTCCTCTTCGTGCTTTCACTCCACACTTGTCACACGGAACTGCTGTCCTCTTTGCCCCAGGTCCGTCATTGCTGATGGACGGGGAGCTCCTCAGGACAGGGCCTGCCCCGCCTGGCTTTGCGTTTCCTTTGCCTGGCACAGGCCCAGCTGGGCGATGCTCAGGGTTTGTCAAACGAGGGCATGAGCAAGCAGACGAATGAACGAGGCCCCGTCTCCCCTCTCAGGCTGGGCCCTGTTTTACCCATCCCCCATCCCCCATCCCCACCCCCACCTCTCCAAACCTGGCTGAATAAACCGCCCTCTCCAGCCTGCTCAGGGCTCCCAGTCTGCAAACTCAAAGCCCAAAGCAGTCTGCTGCCCCACCCTCGATAGCCCTCAAGCCTCCAGGCTGGCTCCCTCTGGGCGTGTCCCCTGACACTTTTTGTGGTTCATCCACTTGCTGCTGAGATAGTAATGCACCTCCGGGGTCAGCGGAGCCCAGCGACTGTGCCGTTAATAGGGCAAAGCAATTCCAATTTCATGCCTGCATGGGCTTCCCTCTATTAAGGCAAGGAGCGGGAACAAATCTTTTTTTTTTTCATTTCTTCCAGAAAACAGGCAAAGGCATTATGCAACAGAAGCTTATGTAGAATTGCTGGCAGGCAGCAGAGGGGGCAGGTGGCTCCTGTGAGACCGAGCAGGGCTTTGGGGAAGAAGGAAGTAGGTTGCGGAGGCAGGGGGCGTTACGTGGTTGTTGCCTGCTGCTCCGGCCTGGATGTTTATACGCTGATGAATACCTGAGAGCCTCCAGCAATTGAAGCTCATCTATATCAGATGACTTTGGCTATCAACTTGCGAATTGTGGGCGTGCAAATATTTACCGAATGAATGAATGATTTATTAATATATTTTTAAAAGAGAAATTATTAGGAGGAGGCATTCAGGCTTCCCGGCTTAAATGGAAGCATGTGACTCGGCCCGTGGGAGACCGAAATCCTGGAACACAACTTCAGAATGCAGGGCCGCTGCAGACCGCAGCCACGGCTCCAGTTCTGCTTCCTTCCCTGTGTCCACACACCACGGATGCAACTTTTCATCTCCTCCCATTAAAAAGTGGAATCTGTTTCTCTACCCCTTGAATCTGAGCTGCCGTAGGACGTGTGTTGGCTAACGAAATGCAGCAGATGTGACAGCATGCAGGTCCCCTGGAGCACGAGAGGCCTGTGTGCCTTGGCACTCTCTCTTGCTCCTCTGCCCTCACTGGGCTGCTTTCCTGGGGGATGAAGGCTCCATGGAGCAAAACTGAGTCAACCCAGCCAAGGTCCCCCTCCACCAGCCAGCCCCCGGACAACTAAGGACACAAGAGTGAGCCCAGCCTGGATGAAACCTGGCTCAGATCGGCAGCTGTCCACAGCCTAACGACACAGAAGAAACAGCTGCTGTTTTAAGCCGCTGCATTTTGAGGATGTTTGTTATCTGACATCATTGCAGCCGTAGATAACTGATACAAGAGCCATGTGACAGTGTCCCTGCTTAATCTGCAGCATCCGTCACGCTACTTGACCCATGGTGAGTGATAAGTAAATATTTGCTGAGTAAATTAATGTGCTTTCGGAAGTGCTGATACAACTACTTATCTTTTCCCCAAATATACACCAAATCACGCTGACTCCAAGCTGTTCCTGCTATTCTCCCTGTCTAGAATATTCTCCTCCATCCTCTGCCTGGCCAACCCCTTTTTCCTTCAGAGTTCTGCTCGGATGTCATCTGTTCTCTTTGGTCTCCTGTGACTCACCCCTCCCACTCAGGGCTCGACGCCACGGCGGTACCTGTGCTGAACGCTCATCGCAGGCTGGGTGCCGCTGCTTAGCTGGGTGAGTGTTTTCCCCGCACTGGACTGTGAGCTCCCCAAGAGCAGAGTCCTGCTGGTCTCAACAGCCCGGTGCCCAGCACAGGGCCTGGCCCACAGTAGGTCCTTGGGAGGTGCTGATTCATTCATTCATTCATTTGTTCATTTACTCCATAATTAGTTACCGAGCACCCACCCTGCACCAGGCTCTGGTCTAAAGTGCCGAGGATATAGCAGTGAACAGCCCACACAGGTCCCAGGCTCATGGGGCTACCACCCTGGCCGAGGGCAGGGGGAAGACTGTCAATAAATAAATAAGTCGGGAAAGCACCAGTTGGAAGCACGTGCCGTGCAGAGAATTAAATTGAGGGTGGCATGATGGAGTGGGTGTGGTGGTCAGGAAGGTCTCTCCGAGGAGGTGGCAGGCAGGCTGCCATCCGGATGCAGGGGGGAGTCAGTCCTGCACAGGGGACGCGAGTTCTAGGCAGGCGGGACAAAGACAGCAAAGGCGGGAAGGCGGGCATGGGCCGGAGAGGTGGGGGATGGGAAGATGAGCGGGGACAGGACAAGCCGGGACAGGCAGGGCGCTGGCAAGGGCTGGGGCTGGGTCCCTGAGTGGCGGGAAGCCAGGCACCTGGGGAGGGGCACCGAGGTGTGGCACGTTGGAAAGGGTTCCTCCGGCTGCTGCAGGGGGGGGAGACTGCACCTTCGTGGGGGTGGGGACAGGGGAACCTGAAGGCTGAGGTGGGTTTCCAGGCAAGAGGAAGCTTCGTCTGTGGCGGGGAGAGAAGTGGCGAGAGAGAACAGTGAAATGTTTGACCCAAGCAACGGGGTTGACGGTACCGTTTCTGGAGAAGGGGAGGCTGGGAAGGAGCAGGCGTTGCAAGAGAAAAGCAAAAGTTGGGTTTTGCCACATGAAGTTGGAAACACATACTCAACAGCAGGAAGTTGGACGTCTGAGTCTGGAGTTCCAGGGAAAAGTTAGGGAGTCCGTGTGGAATTGATCAAGTTGGTCATCAGGTCCGGACTTGGCCAGGGCCAGAGGGGCTGTCATGACGGCAGGGGACAGAGCCACCGCTCAACAACCAGCTTGGTGTGTCTGGGCCTGGAGTTTTTCTGGGGCTGGGCCTGGCTCCCTTCTACATCTGCACGGCCTGGGAGGGGCACTGAGGATTCAAGGTTGTCCTCTCTCCTGGTGGGGAGGGAGACGCCCAGGGCACTCAGGCGGCAGAGGCAGTGGGGGCCCTTCCTTGGGGTGGGGCCTCCTGGCGCTCCTCCTCCTGGCCACTCTGGCTTGGGCGGAGTTACGTGGAAATGAACCGTTGGGGAGCCCAGCTTCTGCGTGGCAGACACAGTGCTCTGGGTGCCCCGTCCCACGTGTCCTCCCCGGGTACACAGGACGACTGCATCTCCCGGCCCCCTTGCAGTTAGGCTGGGCCAGGTGACCACTGCTGGCCAGCGGGGTGTGGGCAGAGGGGGTCTGTGCACTCCCAGGCCCAGCCTTAGCCACCTACCGTGCGCTTGAATTAGTTTCCTAACTGCTGCTGTAGTAAGTCACCACAAACTTAGTGCATTAAAAGAATACAAATTTGTTCTTCGAGTTCTGAATCGGAAGTCTGAAGCAAGTCTTACAGGGCTACAGGTGTTGGCAGGGCCAGCGCCTTCCGGAGGCTCTCAGGAGAGAGCCTGTTTCCTCGCCCTGCCCGGCGTCTAGAGTCTCCTGCACTGCCCGGCTCGCGGGCCCTCCCTGTGTCACTCCCGTCTCTCCCTTCTGTCTCGCACTTCCTTCCACCGCCTTTCACCCGCTCACTTCCCTCTCTAAGGACCTGCAGACTGCACTGGGCCCACCTGGATCATCCAGGCTCATATGCGTGCGTCCTGAGCTCTTTAACTTGACCACATCGGCAGAATTCCCTTCGCCCCAGAAGGCAATGCATTCACGGGTTCCAGAGATTGGGACATGGACGTCTTTGGGGGGCCCTTATTCTGCCCACCACAGTGATACCCCAGCCCTCTCTTCCTCCGCCCTGGAGGTTCTAGAGGCCGCATGTTCCAGGTGAAGATGCAACAGGGCTTCCCGACCTGCCTTGGGCTTTTCATGAGCCCCAAATAAATCTTTGTTATATTAAGCCGATAAGAGTCTGGGGTCGACATGTTACCGTGGCACAGCCTGTCCTGGCCAGACTGATGCGTCTTCCACCGGCTCTTCTTGGTGATGCTTAAGTCTTGCCGGCAGCTCAGAGAGGCCACCCCTTCCCCCTGCAGGGAAGGACTCTGAGTCCTTCCCTGTAAAGCTAATAGCTGAATGGCATGAGGGAATCATCTTGTTGGTGGGTAGAAAGTTCTGGGAGACCTCTACTGCTGACTTACGCGTGTCACTGATGTTGGCCTTGGTCATGTGACTTGCTCTGGCTAAAGGAGTGTTCACGGACACGGCACAGTGGCCCTAAAGGTGCTTGCACGGTTTAGGTTTCCTCTTGAACTTTGATGATCCACCATAAAAGGATCGAATGTCAGGTGGCCACTTCCCCTCCAGTCTGGGCCCCAGAACACACGCCCATGAAACAAACAAAGCCACGGTGGAGACCTGAGCCCAAGCCACAGCCTGGAGTCTGGCCTGAGGCCGAGCTGCCCAGCTGAGCCCAGACAAGATCGGGCGAACCCCTTCAACCTGAACATGAACACAACTGGAAGCACTTGCGGTGGCTCGCCATTGAGATTTGGGTTGGTCTGTTACGCAGCTACTGTGGCAACAGCTGACAATTACACTCAGCCCGGAGAAATCTGGGTTTCCCGAGAGTCTCTGGCCACTTCCCACATCTGGTCGTTAGGATCTGAGTGAGATAATGAGCCGCGCACCCACCCTTCACCCGGAGAGCATGCCTTCCATCTCCTTTGTCACCCCCTCGGCACCTGTCCCCGTACTGGATGCCAGGAGGTGCCCAGTGGCTGCCACCGAACAAATAAAGAACGCACAGCCACAAAGCGAGGTGGGGAAAATCATTCTGTTTGTTTTAATTAAACCGATTGAAGAAGCCAAGACACGGACAGAAAGATACTAAGAACAAGACTGGAAATAGCTTAGAAAAGAAACGAAAACCGATCGCGGAGATGTCGGGGCCCGATGGAGTGGCGGGGGCCGGGCGCGCCTTCACGTCAGCTCCAGGACCACTGTCAGGGCAAGCACCAAGGTGAGCCGGGCGCCAGCAGGGCCGGTCGCGGAACCTGTGCCGGGCGACAGGAAGGGTCAGAGCCCGCACATGCAGCCCCGCTCGGGAACCGCAGAGCTCCTGGACTTCGGTGAAGTGGGTGAACTGGGTTCAAGTTCAAGGCCCAGCCCCACCAGCTGGCCTAACTGCCCTCGGCCCCGGCCCCGCCCATGCCTGCTGGGCTGAGGTCAGGCTTGCTGGTGGCCATCAGGATTGTCCGGCAGGGACCAGGAGTGGGAGCCTCCCTGGTGAACTGTGAGACTGGCTCAGGGTGGGGAGTGGGGGTGGCGGGCCTGGGAGCAGCGTCTGGGTCCCTTGGTGGTGCTCACCTTGGGGGAACGGGTGGGGGCATCCGGGGAGGGCAACATAAAGGGCCCCAGACGAGGCATCTGGCTGTGCTCCCAACTGTCCTACGGAGTGGCCCAGGGCCCCAGAACACAGCCCCATGGTTGGTGCTGGACATACGCCCCTGGGGTTGGGGCTGCTACGCTCTGAGCTAAGAGAGAGTCAGAGACACACGGGCAGTGGGAGGGGGCCCCTGAGATCCCAGCCAGCTGCTCGAGCACGCTGAGTCCCCCGTCCTGTCTCAGTGCCCACCTCTGACCACCCTTGACCCCGACTCTGCCTTACGAGAGGGCAAAGGTCTGCCTGAGGTGTCGGGGAGAGGCACAGGTATGCAAGTGGGCGGTTTGGGGGACCAGAGCTTCCTGGAGCCTCGAAAATCACTCCCTTTTAAGGCAGAGGTCATGAGGGTAGAGACTTACCATGGTATTCCTCCGTTCCTCTTGGAATATTTGGGTTTTCTGTTGGAAAGACACAGAGAGAAGCCACGAGCGGGTGGCATTGAGAACTCAGTAAACGAGCGACCTGCGTACCCAGCACCCGCCCCGCGGTTCACGTGCACGGTCTCAGTGCAGCCGCGCACTCTCTCTGGGGGCTGGATGGTGTCAGCCCCATTCCGCAGATGGAGAAACTGAGAGAGGTTGAGCAGTTTGCCCAAGGTTGCCCAGCTGCTAAGTGGCAGAGCCGGGATTTGAACCCAGAGTCTCTGTGAATCCAAAGCTGTGTAGTTTTAACCGCTGAGCGACACTGCCTCCCCATGAGGTACTCCCTCAGGGCAACGTTAGGGGACTTGGGCCCTTGCTGCTCCCCCCTCCTGGGGACAGCTCCCGGCCAGGGCTCGTCCCGGGGTCATTCTCCCAGTCCCCCGTTGAGTGCGCCATACCAAACACGATGAGCCGGGTGTGCGTGTCGGTGGAGCCCAGCGGGTTCTGGGCTGTGCAGCGGTACATGGAGCCGTTGAGCTCGGCCGGAACCCGCTCCAGCACCAGCTCCTTCCCGTCGAACTCGGCGCTGCCGTCCAGGAGGCGGCTCCCAACCCGCGTCCACGTGAACATGGGCTCCGGGAAGACTTCGTTCTGTTGGCCAGAGCGGGGGAGTTGGGTCACCAGAGGAACCACTCTGTCGGAGCAGGCAGGGGCCAGAGGCATGCCTGGCATTCTCATCCGATGGGCTGGGGGTGGCTGCCTGGAACCCCAGGAGCAGAAAGAGCCCAGGACTGGGGAGAAGGTCAAGACGGATAAGCTGTGTTTGCTCCAAGTTCTGGATGGGGGAGGGAACACATGCACGCACCTTTTTGCCATTTGGTTCTGCCATTGTACAGATTGGGAGACTGAGGCCCACTGGCTGTGGCTGGCGGTCAAGGGAAGGGTGCTGGAGAAGGCAGTCAGGGAACTGGTGCCTGGTGGGAGCCCTACCCTCTCCCACCACCCTCCCGGACGCTCAGAGAGAGGCTGACCTGAAATCCATGGACGAGAATCCTCACCGTGTCCCCGACCCGAGCTCTGCTGGGCGTCATCATGATTTTGGGTCCTTTAGGGGCAACTATAGGGAGAGGAAGGCCAGGTTAGAGAGGCATGTGGGGGACGGTGAGCTGCTAGCATGGCAGTGGGGGCAGGGGACATGGAAGAGAAAATTCCAGCCTAGCAATCAGCGCCCTTGGGATCGCTGCTTCTGTGTTAGGCGCTCTGAGTATGCTCATTCATTCATTCATTCATGCCTGCATTCATTCAGATTCCCCGAGCCCCTACAATGAGTCAGACCTTGCCTGGGACCTGGGGACTCAACAGTGCACAGGACATGGTATTTGTCCTTGGGGGGTCTCACACCCATGAGGGAGAAAGACAAGCAACAGGCAGGTACAAGCCAGGTGTGACAAGTGACAAGACCAGAGAAGCCTGGCGGACGGTGGGGTCAGGGAGGGAAACTGACCCAGGGGAGGTGCTGCCCAAGAGACCACTCCCTGCTGGAGCAGCCCGTTCCGGCAGCCAGACTCGAGGCATCCCACCCGCCACCTGCACCGCGCCCTCGGGAGGCAGGCTTCTGCCCTCATCATCCACACTGTCCAGCTGAGTTAACCGACGCCCAGAGAGTCACAGAGTGGCTTGACAAAGGTCACCCCATGAGAGGAGCAAAGACAACAATTCTGGTCTCTTGACTCCTGACACAGTGCTCTTTCTCCCAGGTGAATCCCAGGGATTTTCGGGGATCTCTGGGCGGGGCATAGACATGGTGTGGGGAGACCATCCCCTTCCAGAGGCCCAGCCTTTGTCCTCCCTGCCTCTCTTACTCTGTCCTCATCCGCTTCTCGTCCAAGCCCCTTTATGTCTCTGAGCTTGGGGGACAAGGTGCCAAGGGCGCTGCTATCCTGTGACCAAAGCCAGAGACTGTCTGGGGTGTGGCATCTGCTGGGGATCGCTGGGTCTGTCCCCTCATGCCGAGTTGGGAAACAGAGCCCCGTGGACAACGAAGAGGCGTATCCGAGGCTGCCCATACAGCCAATCACCCGCACTTCCTGACTTTCCACCCAGGGCCCTTGTCTTTGGATAAATTCATCTGTCCACCCATTCATTCATTCACTCACTCACTCCACCGTGTGTCAGGCTTTGGAGCCGAGCTGGGCACAGTGGTGAGAAAGGCCAAGTGCCTGTCCGGTGGAGGACAGAGTCAATTAGCACAGAAACACAGGAAATTCGACCAGGGAGTGATAATGCTCTACGCAGAGAATTAGACCAAGGGGAGGGGGCAGAGAGTTAGCAGGTGACGTTCTGAGATGTGGTCGTCAGGGTGTCTCCTCTAAGGAGGTGCCATTTAAGCTGAGATGTGAAGCTCATGAGGAACATTCCAGGCAGAGGGAACAGCCAGGGCACGGCACAGAGGCAGGCCAGGGAGGGAATGGGGCCGAGGACAGGTTCCGAAGAGCTTCCAGGGCTGGAGGAGGGTGGGAGGGCGTTGTCTGGAGGGCCATGCTCTGTGCTGCTCTCCGTCAACATCTCCCAGGGGTGGCAGAGGGGAAAAGCTTTGTCCCTGGGCCCTGGGTCTGCCCCGGGGTCATCCCACCCACCCTTGCCTGGTCTCCGAGCCTCTCCTTCCCACTCGGAGCTCTCGGAGCAGAAATCAGAGCAGCCAGCACATGTGGGTGGTCTCCCAGGCCCTGCCAATATCACTCTCAGAATGAGACCAAAGGACTATTCATTAAACCGTGAGCGAGACATCTGAAATGCCACTTGGGTGGAGCGAAGTGTCCGTGAGAAGCGCCGGGTCTGCGTGGAGGGGAGAGAAAGGCGGGGAAGGCGAGGGCAGCTGCTGCTGCTGCATCCGCCAGCTGCGTGGAAGGAGCACGGGCTTGGGAGACCGAGGGCGGAGTTCCAGGCTATTCTGCGTGCCCTTGGATGACCGCTCCCCCGAGCTAGCCCTAATGCACAATGGGGACGGTTATAAAGCCGCTGCCTGCCCACCACGCAGGGATGTTAGGAGCATCGGGAGAGGGTGGCTGTGCTGGCTGACACGTGTCGGGCTCCTCCTAAGGCTGAGCCCCTATATTGAGCACCTTATGCACCATCCCATGTAACCTGCCAGCCTTTTGAGATGTCCCCATAAGGAAATGGAGGCCTACAGTGGTCAAGGAGCTTGGCCAGCAGAGGGCGACAAAGGGCACCCCGTCCAGGAAGCGGCTGGACCAGGCAGCGCCAGGGTGGACACCCATCCCCGGCAGGTCCGATCCCCCTGGCCTGCTTTCTAAAGGCCCCTCCTAACTCCTTCAGGCCTGGGCCCCCTGGCCGGGAGGGGAGAGGGAACCGACATTTATCACGTGCCGAACACACACTAGGCTCGGTTTTAGGACAGTCACCCTGAGGCAGGTTGCCCTGAAACCCATTTGCAGGCCACAAAACTGGCCCTCCAGGAGGGCAATGGCCTGTCCAAGGTCACACTGCAGGAAGGTGGCAGAAGCCAGACTTGATGGCAGGTAGGGCGTCAGAGGGAGGCTTGGAGCCCGTGGCTGGGGAGAGGCAGAGCCGGGTGCCTTCCTCCGTCTGGTCAGCCCGTGACCGCATGGAGCGGACCCCGAGGGGCACGGAGCGTGGGCAGCAGAGGGGTCTGCTCTTCCCTCGCTTCCCTGAGCTCTCTCCTGGCAGCTGCTGACAGACAAGCGCCTCTGTGGCAGATGGTCCCTGACAGCCCTCTCACCGCCGCATCGAGATGCTGCTTCCGGAAGCCAAGCCAGCTGCTGTGGGCCTCCCACGCCCACCACCCCCAGGAGCAGCTCCTGACAGTCAAAGCCGGGCCCCTCTTCCTGCCCCCAGAACACAGCACTGAGAGCACCCGGAAGGAATGTCCTCTCCACCTGGGCACAGGGACAGAGCAGGACTCCAGAGATCCAGGACCGAGGCCCCGCCCTCCACTCCCTGGTTGCAGGACTCGGATGAGTCAATTCAACTTGTTGGGACTCAATTTTTCACCCGTAAATGGGGAGGGTTGGCCACCCCCTGCTTGAGGAGATGCTCTCAAGATCACAAGGGGGTGGAGTGATGAGACCACAAGGTGAGATGCAAAGTGATGCCCACCTGCTCCGAGAATGCAATGACCCTGCTTACACACGCCGCCCTCCTCACCTCCCCTGAGCATCCTGATGTACGGATATCACTGGGAAATCTCAAGGAAAAGCTCCTCTAGGTTTCCTCAGGAATTCTGGGCGTTCGCTAAGACAACCACTCACCCACCCACCCGCCCACTTATCCATGCATCCAAACATCCACCCATCCACCCACTCATCCACTCATTCCATTATCCATCCATCCATTCATCCCTTCATCCATCCATCCAAGCACTCATTCTGTTATCCATCCATCCATCCATCCATCCATCCAAGCACTCATTCTGTTATCCATCCATCCATCCATCCATCCATCCAAGCACTCATTCTGTTATCCATCCATCCAAGCACTCATTCTGTTATCCATCCATCCATCCATCCATCCATCCAAGCACTCATTCTGTTATCCATCCATCCATCCATCCATCCAAGCACTCATTCTCATTCTATTATCCATCCATCCACGCATTCATTCTGTTATCCATCCAAATATCCATCCATCCATCCAAACATACATACACACACCTACCCATAAACCTACCAACCTACTCACTCACCCATTCATTCATCTGCTCTGTCCACTTAATTCTTTACCGTACACCTAATATGCGTCAGTCACTAAGTGGGGCAATGTTGGGGATACAGTGATGAATAACAATAGTAGCTTATATTTCCTAAATACTCTGTCGCTATGCTAAGCGCTTTCTATGCACTGCCTCACTGACTCTTCACAACAGCCCAAGAAAGTACGAATTAATTAATTATTAAGCAAGTAATATGTCAGGGATCGCCCTGAGCCCCGCACCATGTGGACGAGGCAGATGAAGACCCTGCCCACGTGCTGCTTAAATTCCTGTGGGGGTCCCAGACAGTAAGGAAATACAGAACACGCTTCCCGGTGGAGACTATGCTATGCAAGAAAACAGAGCCAGAGAAGGGGCTGAAGGGCCAGAGGAAGAGGCTGTTTTAGATAAGAGAGTTCAGGGAAGGACCCTCTGAGTAGATTTGAGCAGAGGCCTGAAGGAAGGAAGAACTGAGAGTATTCGGCGAAAGATTGTTCTAGGCGGAAGGGAAAGCCAGTTCAAAGTCACGGAGATGGGCCTGGGCTCGGTGTCTTTGGGGAAGAATGAGGAAGACCCTGAGGTTGAAGCAAATTGAGCAGCGGGAAGCGTTTTAGAAGATAAGCACCTTGGTAGCCGAGTAAGCAACTGGGATTTGGTTTCAGAGGTGATGAACAAGGTGTTTTTTTTTTTTTCCTTTTAAATTGGTTCTTCATATATTTTAAAGTTGCAATAAAATTCACCTACAGCAAAATGCACTGTTCTCAAGTGCACCATTTGACAAATTTTAATAAATGTGAATATCTGTGTAACCACCACCCCAATCACACTCCGGAACATTCCCATCACTCCAGATGGTTCCCTTACGCCTCCCCCAGTCAATTTCCACTCTCCCTGGGTAAACACCGTTCTGATCTCTATCAACAGAGGTTTGTTTTCTTGTTCTAGAATTTCATATAAATGCACTCGCGCAGTCAGTACTCTCCACTGTCAGCATAATGCTTCTAAACTCCATCTGTGTTGATGCATGGAACACAAGTTCATTCGATGGTACTGACGAACAGATTTCGTCACATGAATACACCACACATTTGTGTGTCCATTGTTCTAATTACGGACATATAGATATTTACAGAGTTTTTTTTGGTCATTGTTGTTGTCATGAAGAAAGCTGCTGTGAACATTCATGGCCAAGTCTTTGTGGACATGTGTTTTCATTTCTTTTGGGTAAATACTCAGGAGTGGAATTGTTGGGTCATAGAGTAGGAGTATTTTTATCTTTGTAAGAAACTACCAGTTTTCCAAAGTAGTAGTACCATTTTACAGTAGTACCTCAGCAACGCATGAGGATTCTGATTATTCCACATCCTTGTCAGCATTTGGTATTGTCAGTTTTTAAAATCTTACCCAGTGTAACGGTTGTGAAATGGTATCTCATCGAGGTTTTAATCTTCGTTTCTCTGATGACTAACAATGTTGTACACCTTTTGGTATTTTTATTGGCCATTTGTATGTCTTCCTTTTTAAAAAATTGGGTTGTCTTTTTTCTTTTAAGAGACAGTGTCTTGGTCTGTCGCCCAGACTGGGGTACAGTGGCACGATCAGAGCTCATTGTAGCCTCCAACTCCTGGGCTCAAGTGATCCTCCTGCCTCAGCCTCCAGAATAGCTGGGACTACAAGCACACCTGGCAAAATTAGGTTGTCTTGTATTACTGATTTGTAGTAGCTCTTTTTATATTCTGGGTACAAACACTTTGTCAGACAAGTATATTGAAAGTATTTTCTCTCTTTGTATAGCTTGCCTTTCATTTTTCTTAAAGATGTCTTCTTAAGAAAAAATTTGAATTCTAATTAAATCCAATTTAAAATTTTTCATTTAGTGTTTTTTGTGACTGCTTTAAGAAATCCTTGCTACCCCAAGGTCACAAACATATTTTTCTATGTTTTGTTCTAGAAGCTTCATGATGCTGGCTTTTACATTTAATTCTGTGATGCATTTCCAATTAATTTTTGTGTGTGTGCGAGGTAGGGGTCCAGGTTCAATTTTTCCTTACGCGTATTCAGCGGTTTCAGGGCCATTTGTTAAGAAGATTTCTCTTTCCTCATTGAACAGCCTTGGGGTCTTTGTCAAAAATCAATTGACTGCACCTGGTCTATTTCTGGACTCTAGTTTGTTCTATCAATCTATTTGTCTACCATTGGGAGGTTTTGGGTGGGAGTGTATGAGTGTCGTGATCTGATTTATATTTTAAGTAGATCAATCAGGGTGGAAAATGCAATAGGGCAAAAGTGGAAGTAGAAGGACCAGTTTGGAGGCTGCCCTAATAATCCAGGCATAAATCGATGGAGCTTGGATTAGGTGGCTGGAGTGGAAACCATGATGAGTGGCAGATTTGGGATGTGTTCTGAGGCTGAGCTGCCAGGGCTGGAGGATGGTTTGGGTGTGGAATACGAGAAAAGAATGGGAAAAGTGGGTGGCTCCAATGTTTCTGGTCTAATCAATGGGAAGAATGTAGCTGCCATCCGCTGAGATGGGTTCCAGGACCACCAGGCGTCTGTGTCCAGATCACAAGAAAGGTGCAAACCCAGCAAGACAGGAATTCAGAAGAGGCACATTCAGCTGGAAGGATTCTGGGAGAGTCAGAGAAGGCTTCCTGGAGGAGTTGGCATTTGAGCTGGGAAGGGCATCCCTGCAAGGGAACAGCAGGAGCAAAGGCTCCTTGCAAGAAGACATGCCCTGACCCTCATTGGCCTGATCTTCAAAGTCTTTGCCGGATGATAGGAGTCTGTGCCCCGAGGTCATCGCCATCAATCTATTTGTCTCCCAAATAGATTTGCCTGGGTCCTGGGGCTGGTGAGTTCAGTGGCTGGCATTGTAGGGAGTGGAGAAGGCACCAAGAGAACTGGCTCGAAATCCCAGCTCTGCTCCATACATGTTAGTGACTTAGGACAAGGGACTCTACCAACTTAAGCCTCAGTTTTGCTCCTCTGTAAAATGGGACTGTGCAGTACACTTGTGCTTGTGAGGATTGAATGAGATGATCCTTGCAAATGTTCCTGGCACATGGTAGGTACTATATATATATGAAATCCTTTTCCTTGATTTTGGTGTTGAGGAGGTGTTGGGTTTCCTGGTGGTCCAGCTAAAAACAGAGAAGTCCTCTGGAACCCCGACACGGGCCACAGTCCCAACCCTTGTCAGTGATTGTTCTCAGGCCTTGGTCATGAGTCGCCTGGGTTACAGGCTATGAATGGCCCCATGCAGCCCCTTGACCTCTGCAGGAGTCTCAGGGGACAAGCCCAGGCGGCTGAGGCTCAGGGAAGAGCTTCTGGGGGCTGCAGATCAAGGTGCAAAGGGACATGGGAAGAAAGGACCAGTGCAGGTCATTGTGTCCACCTCCCGCCTCTCCACACGGTGATGCAAACACCCGGCTCCAAGTGTCTCATACAGTTTTGACAGAGAAGATTCCACATCGCCCCTCTCCTGCCCTGAATCATCTAGGAGAAGTACATGGGGGAGGGAGTCAGTTCTTAGAGAACTGCTTTGGGGGTGTCCTGAGCTGGTACACTGTGGGCAGAGGGAGCAGATCAGACAGGGATCGGGTTCTCGGGCTCAGCTGGCCCTGGGTGTCCCGTTTCCCATTTGCCCACCTCCCGGCTTTCCACAATGACAGGGTTTTCATTGTACTTAAAAGTGTAGGCTGGGTGCGGTGGCTCACGCCTGTAATCCTAGCACTCTGGGAGGCTGAGGTGGGAGGATCGCTTGAGCTCAGGAGTTCGAGACCAGCCTGAGCAAGAGTGAGACCCCATCTCTACAAAAACTAAAAAAATTAGCTGGGTGTGTTGGTGGTGCCTGTAGTCCCAGCTACTTGGGAGGCTGAGGCACGAGGATTGTTTGAGCCCAGGAGTTTGAGCTATGATGATGCCACTGTACTCTAGCTTGGTGACAGAACAAGACTCTGTCTCCAAAAATAAAAAGATAAAAGAAAATACAAAATGTGTAGGCCAGAGTGATATCCTCCCACGTCCTATGTGTTCCTGACCCCAACCTGGCAGAGCTTCCTATAACCTTCAGTGTTCCTGACCCTGGGCCAGCAGGCCTACAACCTCCCAAATTCGTGACCCTTACCTAGCAACTGTCCCCTGATCCTCTGGTCTCATATTCCACCCTGGAAACCTCCTTGTCACCTCCCATACTCCCAACTGTGATCTAGAAAATCTTCCCTGACCTTGCTATGACCTCCCATGCTCCTCTCCTTGACCCAACAAACTTCCCCTGACCTCCTATGTTCCTGACACTGACTCAGAAAGTCCCCTGGGCCTGCCCCGGTCCTCACTCTGACCTTCTGTGTTCCTGGCTTCACTCAGCATCTGCCCTTAAACCTGACCCGGGTGTCTTCACGTGCCCAGCAAATCTCCCTGTGACTTCCTGGCTCCGTTTTCTACTTAGGAAACCTCCTCTCTCTAACACTGATCCAGCAAATTTCTCTGACTTTCCGTATTCTTTATCCCAACTGTGCAAACTCTCCTGACCTCCTGTGTTCCTGACCCTACCCAGCAACTCCCCTGACCTTCAGGAACCTCCCGTATCCCCCAATCGAACTCAGCAAACTGAAGAGCCCGAGTCCACCCTCTGCACTGACTCTATCTCCAGTTTGCTCCAACTTCTCCCATCTGCCCGCCTGCCGGCAGCCCAGGCCCCTGTGCCAAGGCCCCCCACACCCAGGTCTGCAGGGACCCTGCAGAAGCGCCCCCACCACGCCTTACCCAGCGTGACCTCTGCCTGCATGGGCATCGAGAGCGCTGGGTGCTTGACCTCGCAGCTGAAGAGGGCCTCGTTGTCGATCTGGGGGTTGAGGGTCCAGGTGAGCAGGGCGCGCACCTCCACGGTGCCGTCGCTGCCCGGGGTGCGGCTGTGGCGCAGGAAGTAGATGGGCTCAGCGCTGTGGACCCAGCGGGGGAACTCGCGGCTCACGACCGTCTCTGGGATGTTCTCCGTGGTTGGCTGGAGGAGGACGCTGGGATCTGGGGTCAGGCTGCGGGCAGGGCGCTCCGTGTAGGGTCGCCCACCCCGGTTTTCGCCGTCCAAGAGGGACAGTGACTTCTGCATCTTGGTGTCGTCCAGGTCACGGTGTAGGAGGCTGCGGAAGGGCCTGCTGTCCTGGAGCGGGCCGGAGCTCGCAGCCGGCGGCTCTGTTAGGGGCACTGCGTCGATGGGTTCCCCGTCTCGTTTGAAATAAACCTGAAATTGCAAGGAGGGTGTGGGAAAAGATTTTGTGCAAATGACTTTGACCTGCCAATGGGCTCTCTGACGAACTGGCCACAGGATGCTAGTTCTTCTAGAGCCTCTTCCTCCTAGTCATCTTCTAGGTGGACCTCCCCACCCCATTCCCTTCCCTGCAGCACCCCAAGAACTATGAGCCATCGTGGTACAGTGGGGACGCACGCAGTCCCTGGCGAGGGAGGCTGAGCCCAACCCCCATCATTTGCCAACTGGTAAGACTTTTTGAGCCTCAGTTTCCTCCCCTGCACAGGGGAAAAAGAACACTTGCTTCATGGGGCTGTTGGATGCTTAAATGAAACAATGTGGGGAACAGGGGCCTTGGACTGTGCCACGGTGGCGTCACCTGGGCCCAGAGGGAGTGGTCCATGCCCACTCGGAGGAACATGTGGAGAGAAATGGATGGGCACTGGAGCCAAGATGAGATGTCAGAAGAGGATGAAGGAAGAAAGGATCTGTGTGTGCGTGGGTATGTGCTTGTGTGTGCATGTGTGCATGTGTGTGCATGTGCGCATGTGTGCATGTGTGTGTGCGAGTGTGCGTGTGTGTGTGCGTGCGTGTGTCCATGCATGTATGTATGTGTGCGTGTGTGCGTGCGTGCGTGTGTCCATGCATGTATGTGTGTGTGCGTGTGTGCGTGCGTGCGTGTATGTGTGAGTGAGCATGTGTGTATGTGTGTGCGTGTGTGTGTGTGCGTGTGCGTGTTTTGGAGTCGGAAGGCAAAAACAGGTGTGCGTGTGGGAGGGAGCTAGGCGCCAGGAGGAGGCAAAAGCAAACATCTCCTTGCTTTCCCTGCTAATGGAGAATTCAAGTTTTGAGAGGCGCCATTTAATGTAATTTGCTGTCTTTTTATTTTGGTACATGTGCCCAAAGGCCTGTGGGGATTGGGTGCATTTTTTAATAAATCAGATAAATAAATCGATAGGAGACGGGAGGGAAGAGCTGGAAGCAGCTCTCTGGGATGCAGGGGTTGGGGTAGGAGGAGGCGCGGGGAGGAGAGGCTGCGGGGACAGGCGAGGGAGGTGGGGGAGGACGGGAATGAAACGTGGGCTGCAGAGACGCTGCGGTTTATAACGCCGACGCAGGATCTCTTATGCTCTTAATAGCCTGCTTTGGGTTTTTCTATCCTCTCTTTTCCTGTTTTTGAAAGGCGCTTTAAAAGCAGATTTGTAATTTATATCAAAGAATTTCTTTAAAGTTCTGATGTCTCAGGCAAACATAAGATGTCTGGGATTTGGGGAGATGAGGATCTTTTATGCACACGTATGAATATATATATGTTTCTAAATATTTTATTGGCATGTCTTAAATGGCAGCGCAGGCGAGCAGGACAGCTGGGAGAGCCTTTCTTTGTGACTTCCAGGAAAGGAGTTTTTCTTTGGGGGGGAAAAGACCAGCTTCCCCAATTTTTGGGAGACTGGACCTCTTAATGGGCTCTAAAGGGGAAAATTTGAGGCCATGTCCTGCTTTCAATAATTGGTGGCTTTTTCTTTCTTTCTTTCTTTCTTTCTTTCTTTTTTTTTTTGAGACAGAGTCTCACTCTGTTGTCCTGAGTAGAGTGCAGTGGCGTCAGCCTAGCTCATAGCAACCTTGAACTCCTGAGCTCATGCAATCCTCCTGCCTCAGCCTCCCAGAGTGCTAGGATTACAGGCATGAGCCACCGCGCCCAGCTACAACTGGTGGCTTTGAAGGTACTTTTTTTCATCTGTTTCCTAGGGACAATGACTGGGCTCTGTGCACCTGCCCACTGCCCACCTGTGCCCTGTGCACCTGTCTGCTGCCCTGTCCTGAGCGCTGCATGCCCATTTACCGCCCTGTCTGGGGCAGCTGGTCTCTCTGGCCATAGGTCCTGAGGCAGGACTGGCCTATTTTCCCGAGATCACCCCACTGGACCAGGCCTATGGGACCATCAGGTGTGAAATGGGGGGAACCCTTTGCTTCCCATCTTGAACCGTAACGCTACGTACTACCCAACGCTCTAGCTTGATGCCCTTGCTAAATCCTAGAAATGTATGGAAGTCACAGGGCCAAACCCAAAGTATTGTAACATGCCCAAACCAAAGGGTCCGCAGGAGTATGCAGCCCACAGCTTTCCCAAATGGGTTCCATGGAACCCCAAGAGTTCCACAGAGGTGCTTCAGGTATCAGCCAGGGTGCCCCGGCCTCCCTTCACTTTGAAATATTGTCCAACCTCCTCAGCCCCATTACAGAAACCAAGAAGCAGAGGTGGGGAAGGGGCCAGCCTGCTCCGCATCACTCAGTGGGTGTGGCGGGGCCAGGACCAGAAGCCAGCTCTCCACACGCTCAGGCTGGGTCTCATAAGCAGTTAGCCAAACAAGGAATTCCCTCCCCCCCTCCTCCCTCCCTGCCGCGCTTCCTTCCTTTCTCTCTTGCTTTCTGTCGGCCTTACTGCGGACCACGTGAGGTCCCGGGAAGAGCGGTGAACTGGGAGCTGCAGACGAGGACTGGAGTCTCAGCTCTGTCAGGAATGCCACGGTGACTCTGGACACGTCCCGCCCCTCGCTGGGCCCCTCTCATCGGTCTGCCTCCTGCTCAGTTACTGGGGTAGGGTGTGCTGGCCGCTGGGCTCCCAGAAGGCCACCCCTGCCGTGAAGCTCTAGGATTCCACGCCCAGGAGAAGTGGGGGTTCTCAGCATGGGGACCTTGGGAGTAAGAGGGGTGCACGAATGCCTGGGTGGGTCGGGTGGGTGAACGGGGTCAGAGTCGACATCGGCAGACCACGCCCTTTCTGGGCACAGTGGTGACACCTGCAGCTGGAAAAGCCACCAAGCAGAGTGGTCCAGCAGATGGGGAGGGGCTGGGCGCTGCTGGGGTACTCACCATGGGCGCTGGCTTCCCTCCGGACACGATGCAGACCAGCGTGAAGTTCTGGGCTTGGTAGCGGCTGAAGGGGGCTGGCGTGTCAGCGGCCACCACTTCGATGGAGGTGGGAGGAGCTGCCCCAAAGGGAAGCACAGGAAGACAAAGGCTTAACTGGAAGATTCAGGAAGAGTTCGCTCGCTGATTACCTAAGATGGGCCAGGTCCCGTGCTAAGTGCTGGGGATGGGAAAGGGAAAATGCCGCACGACTCCAGGGGGTGCCATTGTCATCGGCTGCAGTGAGGATGATGTCCCTGGCTGGGAATACAGACAAGGGCCCTGCCCTGGGGCTTAGAGCCCAGTGGGGAAGGCACACAGGAATCAGTGTCAAGTGCATCAGATATCAGGAGGCGTCAGTGTGTCAACGGGCCCCGCCCCAGCCTGGGAGTTCCAGGAAGAGATTGCTGAAGAAGTCACACTGGGGTGTGAGCTCAGGGAACAACAGTAGGCGGCATTTACATGGCAGGTGGAAGGAACAGCACATGCAAAGGTCTCGTGGCAGGTTGGCCGGGTTGGGGACAGGCCAGGGAAAGTGCGGTGCCCAGTGGGGCTGGGCAGATGGGCAGGGCACAGAGCATGTGGCATGTCGACAGGGAGTTAGGACTCCCAGTGGTATGCTGGAGCCAGTTCCAACTGGTGGAGCTGCATGTGACATTTTCAGGAATTTCGTGAACCGGCTGTTAAACTGTTGCTAGCTTGAAACAGGTCACAGTAGGTATCTTTACACCATGAAAATCACCAACTGCTACAAATCAGGGCTTTTTTCCCCCCTTCCTCTGCCCCAGCCCCCAGAGAACTGGTTTACCACCATGCCATGGGGTATGAGTTTTTCTTCTTTATCCTGAGAGCAATGGGGAGCCATGGAAGGTTTTAAGCAAGAGCAGGGACATGATCCAACTTGCATTTGGAAGAGACTGGAAACACAGTGTGAATTTAGACTAGAGAGGATGGTAGCTTAGACTTGAGTGGGGGCAATGAGAGCAAGACGTAGCCGGCTGGGGGAGCTATTTGGAGCCAGGAGTCCCACTCCCTCTCTTTCCCGAAGTCGGCCTGTTTGGGTTGGCCGTCCCTCCCACTGGCTCGCCTCTCTTCTGGTTTGCCAACGCCCGTGCTCCCAGGCACCATGGGGTATGGGAAAGGCCATGCACTGGGCCATAAACACACTTGGGTCCAAATCCCAGCTAGGTCCACATCCCTGGGCAAGTTACCAAAACCGTGAGCCTCAGTTCCCCAACTTGTTAAACGGGAATAACACTTGGCAGACGCATTTGCAGGATGAAGCCAGCTGATGGCCATGGAAGGGCTTAGCATATGGCAGGAACACGCTGTTACTATGATTTCTGCTATTATTTCCCCAACCTCCTCACAGGCAGCAGGTCGGGAGCCAGGGTCCTAGAACCTCGCTTGCGGAAGGCTGTCCATTCTGGCTGACCCGGCCTCGGGCCACGTGCCGGGCAGGAAGCAGAGAAAACAAAGAGGTGTGGGCCTTTCCTTCCTGCAGGGGGTTTTCACTCCGGTTAAGTTTAATTAGATTCGACAAACATTTCCCGACACCTACTAGGTGCCGGGCTCCGCGCCAGGTGCCAACTGTAGGTGCCCAGTGATGAAACAAAGTGTTGAGAAGCTCACAGTCAGGTAGGGGCAACAGACCCACCCACGGCAACTCTATTTTAAGGCCTGGGGAAGTGAAGCCAGGTATGAGTCATTCATTCATTCAGGCAGCTGCCACATGCTGTTGGCAAGGGAAGCAGAACAAACAGAAAACAATGGGAGAACAATAGATGGAGAATTGTAATTAAGCGTAAGATCGCAGGAAACAGATGGCAAGTGGGGTAAGGATTCCGAGAAGGGAAAAATGCACGAGAACACTTCGATTACCTAGAAGTTGCAGATTCTGCAATCTGACTTTTCCAGAACCCGGCTGAAAACCCGGGTCCCACACAAGGACCCGCAGTGGCTAGCACTATGACTCGGGAGCTGTTCTGAGCTCGTAACGAGAGTTCGTTCTTTTAATCTTCACGCTCAGTCTAGGAGGGCGGTTTATTTACTCCCATTTTACAGACCGAGAAACTCAAGAGGTGAAGCAACGTGCCCAGGTGCACGCAGCCGGTGTGAGGCAGAGCCATGGTGCGGACGGAGGCAGTCGGGCTGCGGAGCCCAGACCCCGACATCAAGCTGTGCCACCCCAGCCTTCCGTGTCTCTAGACCTAAATATTAACGATATTTTAGCCACTGGGAACGCTCACTCACCTGGCACGTCCCAACTTCCACGGATGCTTCTCATCCAGTTCTGTCGGGAACTGGTCCTGTGGGTGGCTGCAGTTACTGGGTTCCCCAGAGAGCGGCGACCACTACAGGTGGAGCTTAGCGTAAAACTCCGGCGTGGCCTGTGCCGGCAGGTATGCAGGGATAGGGACACCCTCCGAGAATCCTAGCGGCTCAGAACTGGGTAGGCAGCACCTTTAAAATCACTCCTTCATTCCTTCTTATCTTCATTGAGTGAACGAATCAGAGTCCTAGAACCTTCCTTAGAGGACTGTTTTGATGAGTAATTGTGGCGATGCTTACAAGGTACCTGCAGTGCAGGTTGGCAATTTGAATGAATATTACTTGTATCACCACTGATCAGGGAGGGAGTAAAGACAATGGTTATGAGCGTGGGCTCTAGGTAAGACTGCCCAGGGTACAGATACCAGCTGAACCACTAACTGGTTACGTGACCTTGGGCAAGTTACTTAACCTCTCTAACCTCAGTTTCCTTATCTGCAAAATGGAATTATAGGTTACTTGTGAGAATTCAATATGGTAGGACCTGCAAGGTGTTTTGAAAGTGCTCCCAATCCGTATCATTATACTTAGCAGTGTGATTTACTAACACCCTTTATCTGAGTCTCCTCGCTAAGGACTGGGAGAATAAAACGTAGCCCTCACCTCTGGGGCGTTCCCAGTTTCGTAAGGAGACCAGAAAACGCCCTCGCCTTGCGCTGTCCCACACAGCAGCCACTCACCCCGCGCAGCTAGTGAACGCCTGAAAGGAGGCTTGTTCAAGGTCACGTGTGCTATAAGTGTAAAATGCACACCCAATTTTGAAGACCTAATTTGTATAAAAGAAGGTAAGAGATGCCATTAATATTTTTACATTGATTACATATTGACATGATAATATTTTAGGCATATTGGGTTTAATAAATACATCATTAAAATTAAGTTCACTTTTTTTTTCCCTGAATGCCAATATTAGGAAACTTACAATTACATGTTATGTTTCTATTGGACAGCTCTGGCCTAGATTTTCCATTTTACAGGTGAGCAAACTGAGGTCACAGAGAGGCACGGATTTGCCTACGGTCATGCTGTCAGTCAGAGGCAGAGCCTAGACCGGCGCCAAACCTTCCAAATCCCGCCCAGGGTTCCTTGCACAGCACGGTGCTCCCCGCCCAAAACACGCACACGCACACCCCCTCGTTCTGGAGATCTGCACCCGAGGCGCGCGCACCACCCACGCAGAGCCTGACTGGGGGCTGTGTTCCCTTCCCTCGGTATGTTTCTGAGCAGGTGTTAGCAGTATGTACAGCTAATCAAGCTCGTAGACAATAACAGATTTCAGCTGGACGGATGATGACACAGCGGCGCTGCTAATGACGGCGCGGACAGCCCGGGCTGCCCACACTCCCCCATCAACATGTTCCCCAGTCACTGTGTCCCAGGAAAATGTCACTCTGCATCGCGCCTTGTCTTCTGGGGGAGGGCTCTGATTAAGACAGCCAGGCAGCTGTCCACACCTGCGAGTCCCCGGCTGCATATGGCGGCTTCACCCGACACACCATTGCTGTTTTCTTGTTTTCTTCCTCCTGCCCTTCTCTTTCCCTTCCCTCGACTAAGTGCAACTCTCCTTTCCACACCCCCACAGCAACCCCCAACACCACCACTCTACAGAGCTCCATCACCATAAGCATCCCCATCCCCACCCCCAACCCCAACCCCACCCTCAACCCCATCCCCACCCCCATCCCCATCCCCATCCCCATCCCCATCCCCATCCCCATCCTCATCCCCACTCCCATCCCCACCCCAACCCCAACCTCAACCCCATCCCCAACCCCAGCCCCATCCCAACTCCAACCTCAACCCCAACCCCAATCCCGACCACAACCCCACCTCCATTCCCAACACCAACCCCCGCACATCCCCAACACCAACCCCAACCAAACCCTAACCGCAGCACCAAACACAACCCCAATTCTCAATACAACCCCAACCCCAATAAAAGCCCCGAACAAAGGCAAAAACAAGCAACCCCCCAAAGGCCCGAAACCGGGAAAAAACCCAAGCCCCAAGAAAAAGGGCCAAACAAAAGCAAAAAAACAACCGCAAAAAAAAAAAAAAAAGGCAAGGGAACTCCCGGAAGAAAAAAAACCCAAAGAAAAAAGCAAGGTCCAAAAAGGGCAACAAAAGCGGAGGCCGCCTGCCTGTGTTCAGCTGCATTCGGGGGAGATCCTAGCGGTGTATAATGGCAAAGAACCCAAAAAGACCCCCAGCTTGCCAATCCTCCTCCCACTCTTCTGCTACCACCATTGGACAATGGCATCCGACGTTCCCACCATTAGTGCCTCGTACCTGTGGCCTTCGGGAGTGCGTCTTCAGAGATGGTTGTGCTAGTGCAATGCTCTCGGGGGGTGTTGGGTGCCAGGAAGTAAATACACCCGTCACACCCCTCAGCACCGTTCATCTGAAATAACCCTTGAGGCAAAGAGACACCAAGCAGGCGTAATTTGCTTGGGGAAGGATAAATAGTAGCGGCAATAGTAAGAACCTAGATACAGGCAGAGCTTCAGAATTTACAAACCACTTCCAGCCACGTTATTCCACTTGTGCGACACCAGACCTGGGCGGTAGGGAGGGCCACACCTATTCTATAGTCCACCATGACGCTCAAAGCGAGGCCTCCGCCATAAAACTCCCCTGAGTCCACTGACCACCTCCAAGCCAGAGGACTTTCCAGTTTGCTTTCGACTTTGCCTTAAGTGGAGAGAATTGCTGCTAGAAGTTTCCATGGCTAATTTTGTCTAGCATCAGA